TGATGTTATCAGGGTCTGTGGAGGCCAAAACATCATTTCCAGGACCTTCTTGTTATTGTTTACACTGAAGGTAGTTCTTAATGTTGAATGAAGGCAAATATAGGTGTTTCATGATAATATTGCAGGATCCAATCAGGGTTGGTCACCAAGACCAGACCAGTCTTCTGAGTTTTTGGATTCATGATGGAGCCCATGTTCGAGAAAAGTTCAAGGAACTTCTCTTTAGCAGAGTGTGTCTTAATAACATTGGTATGTTTGGTGCCATTGTCCTGCTGCAGAATATATTTCGGGCCAATCACATGCCTCCCTGAAGGTATGGAATGATGGATAAGTATCTGCCTGTATTTCTCAGCATTGAGGACATGACTGATCCTGATCAAATCTCCAACTCCATTTGCAGAAATGCAGCCCCAAACTTACAAGGAATCTCCATGCTTCATTGTTGCCTGCAGACACTCATTATTGTACTGCTCTCCAGACCTTGGATGAACAAACTGCTTCCTGCTACCAGTATAGCCAAATATTTCAGATTTTGACCCATCAAATCCAGATCACCTGCTGTCATTTTTCTGCACATCAGTTCCTATGTTTTCATACATAGTTGAATCACTTAGCCTTGTTTCCACATCAAGAGGTATGGCTTTTTTGTTGCAATTCTTCCATGAAACCACTTCTGGGCAGACTTCTCCAGATAGTAGACGGGAATACTTGGGTCTTACTGGTTTCTGCCAGTTCTATGCTGATGGAACTGCTGGACATCTTCCAATGTCAAAGAGACGTATTTTTCATCATTAGATTTCCTTGACTGATCCCTGCATCTACAGTCCTCAATGTTGCCTGTTTTTTTGTGCTTCTTCAAAGGAACTTGAACAGCACACCTTGAAATCCCAGTCTTTGAAATCTTTGCCTGGGAGAGACCTTGCTGATGCTGTATGATTGACTACCTTGTGTCTTGTTCCAGTTTTGCCACGGTGTGTGACCTGTGATATGAAACAGTCTTCCACAACCTCACCCTAATAGCAAAGTTTGGATGTTCCTCAATCAGTTTTAAGTCTCCTAGGCAGCTGTTTCTGTTTATGATTGGTTTCAACTTACATATGAAACTAATTATCACTAGCACTTGCTTGGTATAATTGGCTAATCATACACCTGACTCTAATTCTACAAAATCCCTGACTTTGGACAAGTGTAAGAATTGATGCTGTTTTGAAGGAAAAGGGTGGCCAGACCAAATATTGATCTGATTTGGATTTCTCTTCATTTACTTTCCATTTTGTTAATTGATAAAAATAAACTATTAACACTTCTATTTCTGAAAGCATTTTAATTTGCAGCAATTTTGCACAACTGCCTAACACTTTTGCACAGTTAACACTTTGCAAAGGCATGCCAGACACCTCATTAGAGAGTCCTTTCAGAGATAAAATAACAGACAGAAACATACAACAAAAGTTCCAGGAGAAAGATCCCTGCAGGATTTATTCATACTGATTAGTGCTTTATTGTGCCCTGAAGAAAGTTCAGAGAACATAAAAGTTAATTTTCCTATTTTCATTAGAAACAAAATGTACCAACACCAGAAATATAAATTTATATTGTACTTGCAATATATTCTTGGGACAAAGTAACTTTTATTTGATTAAGTTGGCTTATCTCATCTACACTTCATTTTCTTTCATAATGAAACAGGGGATTCCCAAATAATCTTCTGTCCACATAATTTACAAGATCCAGACTTATTTGGTTCAAGCAAGCTATGATGTTATTCTCATATATCATAACAAATTCTTTCTGAAATATTCAATACAAATTCCTAAATTGTTGAACTTCACCAATATTTAGTGAAGTTATAAAATTATAAATTCATTATATAACTCCATATTAACTCAAAAAACCAAACCCCACCAAGTTTTGTAGCTCATATTTTCTAGGAACTATGGCATACCAAAATGCAATCTATAGCAAATTAAACTTACTACTTTACTAACATTAGTGCTGACTTATCTATTTGTGACTAACTTTCCCCAGAAATCTCAGTGGGTCTTAACATGTGCATGTTTTTTAGACTATTTCCACACCAATGATTTATGCTGTTTTATAGTGGGCATCCAGCCAATGATTAGATAATGGTATAAAATGCTATAAATCAATAGTGTGAAAATGGCTATACAGCTAAATTTAATTGAATTCAGGATGACTTCCTCCAATAGCACAATATTTAGGATTGTAATTATAACTTAAATTTAATTGGGATGAGTCCATCAACACAGCTGATGAGCTTTCTTCAGTCCATTAAACCATTCTTGTTTATTGCCAATGATTTCAACATTAAGGCTCCAAACAAAACAATAAATGAATAAAATGTACAGTGAAGTACACTGCAGTCATGCATATCAAGAAAACATGTTTTAATACAACCTTAAATGATTGCATATCCTCTTACTATGAATGTTTCAAACCCTGAATATCTAAGCATAAAAACTGGCTATTCCATTATGTTCTGCTGCGGCCCATACTACTACTATTGTTTAGTATGGTGGTATCTCATACTAAAATTGTTATTGTGAATCTCTTCTAAAAGAGCAGGACAACAGAACTTGATGAAGGGGCATTGGTGGCTGTTGCTTTGTATTTAAATTAAATGTACATTATATAACTTCAACAAGCTCAAATGCCACGTCTTAAAATCCACAACAAAGTTAACTTCTGTAAAGGAAACCAAAGGGAACGCCGTAGTATGTTAGAGAAATAAATGTACATTTCATCATTTTATATCTCTCTCCTTTTCCCTAAGGCACAAAAAAACAGCTGATGTTCCTGAATAAAGATTAGCTTTTACTAATTGCAAACTACCCGAATGTCATCTTGACACAAGATACACCTCATTTAGTCATAAGATAATTTGACCAAACTCCTCTCTAGAACACTAAAAATCTTCACAGACCGTTCTCATCCTTGACATTCGTATTTTGAACTGTTACCATTCAGGGAGGCATTACAGGTGTCTTAAAATGAGAATAGATTGAGAAACAGTTTCTTTTCCAAGGCAGTGATTATCTTGAATCAAACAGTGCATTTGTGATTTAGTTCTATTATTATTATTATTTTAATTTTTAAATACTCTGTAGTATGATTGTGATGTGGTGTTTGGGGCACTGTGCTGGAGTAGCTTTCAAATTTCATTGTATTCATGGAATGCAATGACAATAAATGTATTCTATTCTTTCCTTATTCTATTCTATTCTATTCTATTCTATTCTATTCTACTCTATTCTTTCTCTATTCTATTCTATTCTATTCTTTCCCTATTCTTTCCCTATTCTATTCTATTCTATTCTATTCTATTCTTTCCCTATTCTACTCTATTCTATTCTTTCCCTATTCTATTCTATTCTTTCTCTATTCTATTCTGTTCTGTTCTGATCTATTCTAAACATGCCAAGACAAAATCCAAAAAACCAAAAGGACAGTTTGGCTCCCAATGAAATGTGTTGGAATGGACACCAAAAAAAGTAGTTTTTTTTTTTAAAGTTTGTTTCTCTTCTGCACTACGATGCTAACCCTCTCCTACTTCGATCCGAGATGGGAAAAGCTCATCTCTAAACTAAAGCATGCCTGCTCGCGGGCGCGGGAATCAGAAGTGAGTCACTCTTCCAGGGAACTGATGATTCATCCATTCAAGTCATCCTTTTGAGGCCGAATTAACAAGCAAAACACACGTGGGTTCTAATCCACAAATCCTTTTACCCACAATCGGCAGGATTCGATACGGCCCCTGAGTTCTTTTAACTCCACCCACGGCTCCCCGATATCGATTTGCCTCTTATTTTCCTCCATGACGAAAGCACCGGGTTTGTTGGGGGGGGGGGAGAAGAGGAAAGGGGTAGAAAACCCACGTTCCCCCCCCCCCAAAGACAGGTGGTAATACACCTGAGTCCGTAGGTGACGTTTGCACCCCGAACCTGTTTTTTTTTTTTTAAATCCTCCCTTTGGACTCGGGCTGCACCTGCCAAGTCAGGTGCACGCACGATCGGCTGGTCAGTTTCACTTTTGGGGATTTCTGACTGCGCGTGTGCAGAGGTTTCCTCCTCCGGCTGAGCAGGGCCAGAAACATCGCACCCGAGGAAGAGAGAGAGAGGGATCCGGGCTCTCTCCTCTCTCTCTCCGCCCCAGTCCCAACTTGCGCCGCTCCTCCTCTTGTTGACCACCTTACATAATGTAACCCCGCGGGCTCCCAAGCAAACCAAAAAGTCAAGGAAAGCCGCCTTCGGGACGGAGAGAGGAGCAGACGCTTCCCTCAGAGACCAGCCGCCCTTCGCTCTCTTTTTTTTTGGCGGGGAGAATGTGGGGGGGGGGGGGAGAGGAAAAAAAACACCACACACAAAAAAAACCCCGACTGACGCCGACCGACGGGTGGCTGCTGGGCTAGAAAAATCCGGAATGGAAGAAGCGACGCAACAACGCCAGGCCGCCCTCGGCCCCCACGGGGGTGTGTGTGTGTGTGTGTGTGTTTGGGGGGGAGGTGTTTGCTTGGTCGCCCTCGGTTCCCCTTTACAGCCAACCTCGCCGAAGGGTCTCTTCGGGTCTCCTAACCCCCCCTCCCCTCCCCTCCCCTCGGGAAATGTCAGCCCGGCTGAGCCTATTTGGGAGTCACTCCGAATTAAGCGCGGGGAGGGGGGGCGGTTGTGAGGAGAAGGAGGGGTGTGTGTGTGTGTGTGTGTGTGTGTGTGTAGGGGGCCAAATAAGGAAGACGTTATTAACTCTCTTCGCCGGTCCTTGGGAAAGGCGGCTGACGAGCGGCAGTTCCCGGGTCAACAAGGCGCGAAGTGGCCGGAGCGGAGAGACGCTGCCTTCCCGCAACTTGTTCTGACGGGGTGGGGTGAGAGGAGTGAGTCGCTCCCCCTTCCCCTCTGCCCTTCGCCGGGCGCCCTTCTCTCTCTCTCTCTCTCCCTTCCCTCAACTTTCCTCCGGGAAGAGCCGGGGCAAGAAGGTTCCCTTACCTTGGATTTTCCCCTCCCCTCCCCGAAACGCCCCGAGAGCAGCCGCCGGACTCCTGTGGATGGTGCCGGGGGAGCGAAGAGGTGCTGCCGTTCAGCTGACAGGAGTTCCTGCCGGGGAGGGGATGGGGGGGGGAAGAAGGAGCGGAGCGAAGGAGGGAGGGAGGAGGAGGAGGAGGACGTCGCGAGCCTGAGGAGGAGGAAGGCTCGCGCCGCGGAGTGGAGGGAGCGGTGCGCGAGGAGGAGAGCGGAGGGAGGGAGGGAGAGAAAGCAAGCGGAGGACTTTCCCAGAGCTTCTTGTTTACGCATTGCTGCCCTGCTCGGTGCAACGCACAATTCCATTCTCTGATTGGACACAAAACTGGGGCACAGCCTTTCGCTGCCCGCCCTCTCGTCTCGCACGGCCATGGTGCGGCCGTCGCTCGGAGCCCTCCCACCTCCCCCACTTTAGGGAAAGGGGGCTGCGGGCAACTTTGCCCCGCTGATGGGACTTCGGCTCCCCGAAGCTCCTTCTGCGCACCAGCCGAGGAGCCAATGGCATCCAGCGGGCCCGCGAGCGAACGCAGCCCCGCGCAGGCGCGTCACCGCTGGTCCAAGCTCAACTCTCCCCCCCCCCCCCCCCCCCCCCCCCCCACCCCTCCGCCCGCGAGACATTCACACCCCCCCCCCTTTTTTTTACCCTTCCTGGTCCAGCCGCGCACACGCTACCAGGACGCTGGAGCAAGGAGCATGTGCGTAGCCCCCGACGCATGCTCCCTAAAGCTCGATGAAGGCGCGGTGACGCTGCTTGATGCCCTCAGATGTCCTGTTTCCCCCCCCCCCTCCGGTGCCTTTAATAGCGGCGGAAGTTCTTCGATTCGGCGGCTCCATAGAAAGGTGTTGGGTTCCTAAGAAGAGAAAAACTAGGATGGGACTCTATCGTTGTAGTCTTACCCATGGGAAAATAGAGCTTTAAGGTCTCCGCAGAGCATCAAAGTAGGAGTGTGTTGGAGTTTAGGGAGGTAATGTCTGTTTTCGCGTCAGTGCTGGCTCTGGAGACTGCCCGGACTGGTCCCTGCAATTTTCTTGGCAAGATTTTGGAAGTGGCTTGCATTGCCTGCTGCTTCCTAGGGCTGAGAAGAACGTGACCACTTCAAGGTCACCCAGCTGCTTTTGTGCCTAACTTGGGATCTCCTGTTTTTTTAGCCGGGACTAAAGTGGGACTAGAACTTGGGATCGCCTGGTTTCTTAGCCGGCTGCCTTAACCAGTACACCAAGGGTCTTCAAACTTGGCGAGTTTAAGACCTGTGGACTTCAACTCCCAGAATTCCTGAGCCAACATGACTGGAGGAGGAATTCTGGGAGTTGAAGTTCACAAGTCTTTAAAGCTGTCAAGTTTGAAGACCCCTGCACTACACAAACTGCCTCTTCCACCAGCAATAGGCAGGAAGCTTATTGTGGAGAATTTTGTCACCGAGGATTATCTGGAGAAATGCAGCCAGGGGCCAAAATTTGAGAGGTGGCATCTGTGTCTCTGTGTGTCCCTGAGATAGATCTTGCCCATCTCGGGGCATTTGATGCAAAATGGATCAGGAATTGGAAATTCATCCTTTATATAACTTGGTGCAATGGCTTGTGCTACCGTAGGTGCTAGGTTTGGGGTGGATGGGGAGGGGGGAGTATGGTTAAAGACTGGTCCTAAACCTGCCGGTATCTGGTGATCTGCAGGAGAGATTCACTCCAGGCTATGAAAGTCCTTTGAGACTGTTTAGCTCAATGCTGGCTGGAGAATTCTGGGAGTTGAAGTCCACAAGTCTTAAAGTTGCCCGATAGACCCAAATACATATATTGTCCCCACGATTCCCTCCCCCAAATGCTTCAGGGTAATCCTATTGATATAATGGATGGAGCCTTTAACTACTATTATGGTAGTAAAGAAGGTGGATTTGGCCACAAGATAATATGTGATTGGCAGACTAGACCTAAGGATTTCAAGTGATAGAGAACCTCCCTGACTGGGAAAATTACCTTCCCCAAAGGGCTTTTTAATTACACAGCATATTCTATAAAACTGTGAAAGAAAATGGAATTTTTCACTACCTAAATATGAGCCCAAGATAAGCCAAGAGCCTATTCAAAGTGGTGGTAAGATTTGACGTAAAGGTTTTTAACAAGAGCATTTCCCAGTAAAAATGCCTCCTTGTACAAAGCTCCTTAATGGCTTAGCCGGTCCTTATATTCCTGGATTGGTGCAAGATTTAAATCTGTATTTTCAGTCATACAGTTTTGTGAATTCTTTCCCTTAATTTTTTTAAATAAAAGCAAATCCAGATTGAAACAACTGTCAGGGCACATTTTCTCTCTCTCTGTAACTTGCCTATCATTTCCCCCACCCCACCTTTTCCCTTCCTTCAGTTGCTATTGCTCGGGTTGGAAAAGCATTTCTATTAAAAGACAAAGAATGGCATTCCTGCCTCCCCGTTTCTCCTTTGTTTTCCATTGCTGCTTGGAAATGTACAATTATTTGTTTACCAAATACTGCTCTTTATCTTTTGATAAATAATACTTTTATCCCACGGACTGCCATCAAGCAATCAATCAACAGTCTGTTCAAAGACATTTCAACCATCAACAGTCTGTTTCATCATTCAATACAACTACCTACCGAACAGACATTATACACTTCTGGCTAATCCTGATTTTTAGCAAACTTATTTTCATCTGTTTTTTTTTTCTACGTTGCTGGTCTCAACTCAACTTTCTCCAACCATTTGCCATTCAGATGGCTTGGGAATACAACTCTTTTTGGATCTGACATACTATCCAGGGGTGGGATTCAATTTTTTTGACACCTGATTCTGTGGGCGTGGCTAGGCATGACTAGGTGGGTGTGTCCATGTGATTGGGTGGGCGTGGCTTCTTTTTTCTTTCCTTTTTTTTTTTGCAGCATACCACCCCCCATTTATTTTGAGTCCTGGGCTTCAGGAAATCCTCCGGGGGGGGGGGCGTTTTTGCTCCCAGAAAGCTTCCCTGGGACCCAGGAAGGAAAAAAAATGGAGCCGGGGTGGCCTGCGCAATATCCCCTGCTCCTCTTTTATCCTCCTGGGCCTCAGGGAAGCTGCCTGGGCAAAGCAACTAGACAGCGAGGGGGATCCTGGCACAGGTGATCATTGGAACAGCTAATCATCAGGAGGGGAAAAAAAGAAATGCAGTCAAAATCCAGTCAGCGATGTCACGCATGCGCAATAAGGACTGACTGGGCAGGGAAGGGCAGGCGGGGAGGGGTGAGGCTAGCCAGGGGCAAATTTGCCGGTTCTCCAAACTGCTCAGAATTATAACAACCGGTTCTGCAGAACGGGTCCAAACTGGTAGAATCCCACCCCTGCTCCAAACCCATAACGCGAGACACCATGCTCCTTAGCAACCTATAATATAATGAATAATAACACCAGCAGCAGGAGCAACAAAGAACTGAGCCCTATGCAAAGTTATTAAAGCTCATCCCTATAAGAAATCCTTTGCTCTTCAAATTCCTGAGCCACTTATTAGTAAAAAGGTTTCGGCTTACTACTGCAAAAGTTTTGGCTGGAAAAACGAACAAACGGAATTGAAAGAAAGAACGGCATTGCAACACTTTAAAGACTAGACCACAACCCACCAATTTCTTCATAAATGGCAGATGTCACAGGTCTTTGAAGCCAATATGAAATAATGAGGATATTCATTATTTCTCAACTTCCTCTCACAGACTTTGTGAATGGTCATTTAAAAAAAAAAACAATCTGGCAGCATCAATTAAAAACCACATCTTGTGCTTTGTTTTTGTTTTAAATTGGGGTATTTTCATTGCTGCAGTAATTTAATAAAACTCTGTGGCTGCCTTGATTTTTGACAGATTTTGTTAATAACTGATATCTAGGCAATTAATTCTATTTATGCATAAATCAATTGCACTAAAATTCATGAATTATTTATTACAATATTTTCTAATGAATTCCATGTATTTGTCTTGTGTTATACATGTACTGTAATTCTGTTTCCTCTTTGTGTTGTTATATTTCCAGATCTGATTGTATGAATTTGTTAATGTGTTTCTATGTTGTAATTTTTAGTAAAGCACTTCAATGCTTTTGCGCATTAAAAAAAACACACACACATCTCCAAATGGAATAACTTTAGTAAGTCACAGAGATATCTTCATCTTCCTTCTTCTTTCTACATTCTTGCATGCTGCTTCCTGTTCTTATCTTTATCTCATGCTCCTGCATTCTACTTCCTGGTTCCCCGACCCCCACCCTGCCAAATGTTATTTTATTTTATCTGCACGATCGAAACTGCATCTACCTATTTTTCAAAGTCTCAAAGTCATGGGATTTTTGGAATACATTTAAGACAAAATGATAAAAACATTTCACCATATTACGTAGGTCAGAACTTTGGCAGAACTCACAGGAAAACAAATGTAACATTGATTGGGTTACGTCCTATTCTTTTCCACCAATCCAAGGACATATGCTTAAAAAACTACCCTCCACTGCAAAAATAGAAGAATTTGACTGAGCTGAAAGCTAGTTGTTTGGCTCAGCGTCAACTTCTCAGCTTTCATGGCTGGTTCTGACTTGGGTTAAATTCTATTAATAGCAAATGTTGCTGTTCAACCAGCAATTGAATTCTATTAGTAGCAAACAAAGGTACAGGTAGTCCTTCACCAATGACTACAATTGAGCCCAACATTTCTTTTACTAAGTGAGACATCTGTTAAATGAAGTTTGCCCCCATTTTACGACTTTTCTTGTCACATTTGTGAAGTCAATCATTGCAGTTGTTAATTTAATCTAGGGGTTGGCAGCCTTAAGCATTCAAAGAGCCACAAAGGTCCTAACTCGTCCCCCCCCTTCAATTCTGGAGCCCACCGGAAGTCCAGTTCCCTTACCATAGAGTCTCCTCCTAGCATGGCATCCATTTTCCTCTACCTGTCCTAACTGAAAGCCCTATCAATTACGGAGACAGCCAGCAGAGTGATGAAAGAGCCACATGCGTCTCCAGAGCCGTGGGTTGCTGACCCCTGATTTAGTCACAGGGTTGGGAAATGAATCTGGCTTCATCCTTGACTTTGCTTGTCAGAAGGATGCAAAAAGGGATCACATGACCCTGGGACACTGC